GGTCAAGAGAAGCCTAGTGGTGCTGTGTTCTCATAGAGGGAACCCTAGGCTTGGAAAGTCAGGAGCAGCGACCTGGTTCTGAGAAGTACCTCCTTCTGTGCATGTAAGGAGGATGCTGCATCTCTGGCCTAGGACCAAATGCTGTATGTAACTGACTCCACAGGATGAGGACGTCCTTTGGGGCTGGGCCTCTAGTTAGAAACCTCAGGCCCACAGGAAATTGTGCCCCGTGCTAGGAGCCTGCTCAGAGCGTCATGGTGTCCCTACCAGTACCAATTCCAAGAGGTATGGGGCTTGTGACAGGACATTCTCAGAAGGCAGACAGGGCAACTCTGAGCTGTCCAGAAAGAATCACTTAGAGAGGGAGTTTATTTACAGGGGCTGTACTCAGAGGGTCTGAGTAGGTCTGGGTGGAGCTTTAGAATTCATCGTGTAAAATATCCTCAGGCAGATCTGTAGCAGCTGGTTTGATGATCACTGATCTGAGGCCCTCACCTAGAATAAAAGGGATTTTGCTGTTTGTTTTGTCTTTGTTTCAGTACTGAGGATTCAACCAGGGGCCTGTGTACTCTACCACCTGAGCATACTCCCAGTTATTTTGCCTTTCGTTTCTTTTTCACATATGTTCTTAAACAACATTTGCTGGACCAGCCTCCAACCTATTTTGAGCCTCCTGCCTCTACTTCCCACCTATCTGAGGTTGCAGATGCACACTGCCATGTCCAGCTTGTTTTTGAGATAGGGTCTCCTGAAATTTTCATCAGGGCTAGTCTGTAATACAGCGTAGGGTGTCTGCTGAGATTTTAGCTCTACCACATCTGGGTAGGAGGTTTGTTTGTTTTTTCCTAATGGAAAAATTCTATTCATCCTCCTCCCACATCTTTCTACCCACACACTGAGTTCTAGTTCTGGACCAAGCCTAGGCTAGGTGCTGGTGAGCAGGGCAGGCCCAGCCCAGCCCTCGGCAGCTTGATGCCTCCTCCTTTCCTGCCCTCCCTCATGCAACACTCAGAGCCCTTCCCAGGCGTGGCTACTTTAAATGTTTTCTCTTGAGATAGTCTCAGAAATCCAGCATCTGTCTGGGCAGCTACCTAAAGGCCTTTGGGTCCCTCCACCTGCCTTAGCAGGATGGAGCCTTTAAGAGATTGTTACCCCTCTTTGTCCCCAGATGACTTCTCCGAACACCCCTGGCTGAAAATCTCTCTTGTCTCATTTTCTGTTTCTCTCCATGTTGCTTAAATCCATCTTCTGTTCCTGCAAGTCATACTTTGGATATCAGAACAGAGAGGAAAGTGGGGTTTTGGTTCCTAGGAGCTCACTGGCAGAGTAAGAGAGACAAGGAGGAATGAGCAGCCCCCAGCTGGACCCAGATAGTGACATATATGATATATATGGAATATATGTACAGAGTTCCCTTGCAGTTTCCTAGGTGATGGGGTGGCTGGAACATCTCTTCTTCTAATACTTATCTTTGACTCCCAGTTCTCGACACAGAGCTCTCCTGGAATTTCCTGGGTGTTAAGCGCATCTTTTATTCTACTAGGAGACTCATTATGGGATCCTGGGTAGGCTTGGTCACCAGAAAGATCAAGCTATGATTAGAAGCATGGAACTGAATTGGGAGTAGGGACCTCATTTCTATAAGCCTAGCTACTCAGGAGGCTGAGATCTGAGTATTACAGTTCAAAGCTAGCCCAGACAAGAAAGTCTATGAGACTCTTATTTCCAATTATCTATCAAAAGCTGGAGAATGGAGTTGTGAGTCAAGTGGCAGAGTATCATCCTTGCACAAAAACAATAAGGGACAGCACCTAGACACTGAGTTCAAGCCCCAGAGCTGGCGCACACGCACGCACACACACACAGCATCGAACTGGCATCCTCATGTCCTATTTTCCAGGAAGGACATCTGGGATTGAGCTAATAATTTATTGTGGCTATATGCTGGAACCTCCATAAACATTCCCAAAGCATGGGGTCAGGAGAGCATCTGGGTGGATGAGCACGTTCTCACGGTAGAAGAGGTGTGCTCACAGAAGCAGAGCTTTGGTGCTCAGGACGTTCCTAGCCTTGCCATGTAGACTTCTTCATCCAGCTGTTAATCTCTCTCCTTCACCATATTATTTTTGTATAGTAAACTAGGAATTGTGTTTTTTTGTGAGGCTTGTGAGACATCATAGAAAATTCACAAACCAGAGAAGGGGTTGTGGGAATTCTCAGTTGCTAGCTAAGCTGAGAAGAAATGGGGGTAGCTTGGGGATCAACTTCCTGTGATAGGCGTTTGAAGTAAGGGGTAAGTCTTGTGGGATGGAGCCTTTAACCTGGATCTGTGTCAACTCTAAGTGGTTTTAATATCTGAATTATAGGAGACCCAACTCATGTCCTAATTGATGCAGAAGAATCAGTTTGTTGGAAAGAAGCAGTCCATATACAGTGGCCAGAAGTGATATAGGAGTGTTTAAAGGAAAGTGAGTTTTCCTTGTACAAGACACTTGGAATCACCAAAGAAGAACCTGTAGCAGGGTCCCACTATCTCACAGAAGTTCTAGGGTCTCTCTACTTCATTACTGGTGAAGAACAGGCAGGGTTTCTTGCCCCATGGAGAACCCAAACTTACTGCTGTGAAAGGCCATTGATTTATGTATGTATTTTGGCATTTTCTTTCTTCCTTGTCCTTTTCCTGTGGTCTCCAGTGGTTACTTCCTGGTAAACGGATGTGCAGCCAGTGATAGTACCTCCCAATGTGTGCAGAGCTGGGATCAGTGCCAACCTGTGGTTTCCTCCATCCACTAGTGCCATCCTCTGCCTCTGTTGGCCTCATCTGTGTGGCTTTAACCTGCCCATTATTCTACATGGGGAGATAAAACTTGGAAGCTATGTTGGGGTGAGACTTTATCAGGAACATGGATGTGTCCTGGCAGGAAGTGGGAGGTTCATGTGGTGTGGAAGTCCAAAACCACGACTGCAAATATCTGCAGTGGACAGTGACCCTGCCTGTCACTTGCTGGGTGACCTTGAGTGCTCTCCATGGAGCTTCACTGGGACTCTGAGTCTTGGGCCCTATTCCAGATGTGAAGAATGAGAATTGGCATTTTAGTGAAAGGCCCAGATGATTGGAATAAACACTAGCATCTGGGAAGCCTGCCCAGAATCCCCTCTTCTCGCTGTCTGCACGTGGTTAGGGCAGTAATGATGCTGACCTCAGCAGCAGGCCATTCAGGAGCCTCTCATATCGGAGGTTGACCAGAAGGCCTAACCTTTTAACTAGTTTTATCTGTCCCTTAGCTCAAATCCTTTTGTAATAAGATGCCAGTATTTAAACAGGGGGAAATTTCTCATCAATTTTGAGACTTCTAGAATCTCTTGAAAAATTGAACATTGCAGGAAATGAGCACATTCCTTCTGACAGCAATCAGTACCCCCCTTCCCCCACACTCACGTTCTCATCTTGTCACTAACACTTGGAAGATAAAAATCTCAGGGGCTTCTTAAAACATGTGGAAATATGCTCCACCTTGGTCTTCAAAAAACAATTAAAAATGAAATCAACACGAGATTGTCCCTTTCTACCCTTCTTTCTAGCAAATATGAAAAATAAAGTTTGATAACTCACTGGGTTGACAAGGAAGGCTGATGGAATGGGGCCACTCACGTACTAGTGGGAAAGTGAGATGACACCATCTTATTACCTGTTAAAATGGCCAAATACCATTTGTCTCTTGATCAAATGCTACCATTTCCCATAGGTAAATGCATATAACCCTAATGCACACACACACACAAGGGCAGTTATTATTGTACTGTTTGTAATAGCTAAAGATGAAAACAAACTCAGTTGTTCTTCAGTCTAGCTGGCTAGGTACAGTACTGGGTAGCCATACAATTACAAGTACATAATGTCAGGGTTTTTTATATCATGATGGATACGAAGAGGAGCCTCCAAAGTGCACAGTCCAGAGCTGTATGTGTGTAAGAGCATCGGCAGAGAGAGCCAAGGACCCAGGCAATGGTCACCTCAGGGGAAGGAGGGGCTCTAAGAGAGTGGGGCACAAAGGTGGGAAGGGCTATTTTCACTTCTACAGTTTTGTATCCTTTGAACTTAGAACCACATCAATGTATTACCTACTGACAGCCAGGCACCAGTGGCTCATGCTTGTAATCCTAGCTACTCAGGAGGCTGAGATCTTAAGATCTCAGTTTAAAGCCGGCCCAGACAGAGAAGTCTGTGAGACTATATCCAATTAACCAGCAAAACTTCAGAAGTGGAGGTGTGGCTTAAGTGGTAGAGTTCCAGTCTTGAAAAACAACAATAAGCACCACCTAAGGAACAGTGCCCATGCCCTGAGTTCAAGTCCTAGGACAGGTACAAACAACAATGACAAAAACACCATCTTACCTACTCGAAGAATTAAAAATTTTCAGAGACAGATTCTGTGTCTCTGACACTATAAGAATCTAATGTTTCGCAATTTGATGAGCGCCAACTTTTTTCCTTCCTTCCTTCCTACTTTCCTTTGTTTTATTCTGTCAATCATAGGGCTTGAACTCAAGTCCTGGGTGATGTCTCTGAGCTTTTGCGCTCAAGGCTAGTACTCTAAACTTTGAGCCACAGAACCAGCCACTTCTGGTTTTCTGGTCATTGATTGGAGATAAGAGTTTCATGGACTTTCCTGCCTACACAGATATCAAACCACAGTCCTCAGATCTCATCCTCCTGACTAGCTAGGATGACAGGTGTGAGCCACTGGTACCCAGCTGAATCTAACTTTTGATGACTCTGCAGGACTTCTCTTGGGTGAGACTAGAGTTTTTTGGTCCCTCTCTGGGTCTCTCTGGCTTTCTCTATCCTTAAGGTGGCCACAGCTGCCTCAGTGAGTGTGAACAGCTGTAGGGAGGACATGGAGTTACTTCCCCAGCATGGTACCACTGCAGGAACTCTGGTGTCTCTGGGAAGCCCAGTGCTTAGACCCCTCACCTCTTGGCCTTCTCTGTCTTCCTAGGGGAGCCTTCTCTGTCGTGCGCAGGTGTGTGAAGGTGTTGGCCGGCCAGGAATATGCTGCTAAGATCATCAACACCAAGAAACTCTCAGCCAGAGGTAGGTTCTGGGCCGTGCCTCTCCCACAGGGCTCTCCTTCCTTTCTTCCCTCCCTCTACCTCTTGGTTTCCCTTTCTTGGAAAATCTAGGCTGTGGGCCAGACATCCCCCAGGAAGCTCTGATAGGACTTCCTTTCCCCGATCTTCTGTACTCCTTTCATTTCTCACCTTCACACCCCTGTTCTACCACTCTCTGCCTAGTGCCCTAACCTAGCTCCTTCCAACGCTGGCCTTCAGCTCACCTCTGCCCTGACACCCACCCTCCATCCGAGGGGGTCTCCACCATTTTCTCTCTCCTGTTTATTTCCCTCGTGGATGTCCTCTGGCTTAGCCTTACCCCATTTGCTGATTGGTTCCTTGTTATTAAACCTTGATCTTGACCCATTGCCTCTTGATGGGATGCTCCAAGAAGGTGGGCAGGCCTCACCACCACTCTGGGTGCTCTCAGCACCTGGGACAGGACCTGGGCAAGGGGCTGGGTGTGGCCATGAACTCCAGGTATCTCTGTTTCATCATACCAACATACTCTTGGGTTTCTAAAGGAGTGGGGTAGGTGTGATCCTGGTTTTGAAAATGATACATCTCTAATTCTAATTTGTAAAATGATTCAGGAACCAAGCCGGGCGCTGGTGGCTCACGCCTGTAATCCTAGCTACTCAGGAGGCTGAGATCTGAAGATCGCGGTTCAAAGCCAGCCCGGGCAGGAGAGACCGTGAGACTCCTATCTCCAATAAACCACCAAAAACCGGAAGTGGCGCTGTAGCTCAAATGGTAGAGCACTCGCCTTGAGCTGAAGAGCTGAAGGACAGCGCCCAGGCCCAGAGTTCAAGCCCCACGACCCAAAAAAAAAAAAAAAAAAGATTCAGGAACCAAAGTCCTAGAATCACAGAAGTGATCCTGGGCACAGCCGCAACCCCTGGGAGATTGTTAGAAATGCAAGGTACTAGGCTTCATTGCAGACTGAAAAATCTCTAATCTGCATCTTTTTTTTTCTTTTTTCTTTTTTTGTCATCTCACTACTGGAGCTTAAACTCAGGACCTAGTGCTTTTCCTTGGCTTTTTTTCCCCCCCAAGATTCGTGCTTTACCACTTGAACCATGCTTTTGCTTCTGGCTTTTTGCTGGTTAATTGGAGATGTCTCATGGACTTTTCTGCCAGGGCTGTCTTTGGTCCATGGGTCTCAGATCTCAGTCTCCTGAGTAGCTAAGGTTATAAGTATGAGCCACCAGCACTGGGCCTGAGATGCCCATGTGTGTGATAGGGACTAAGTTGTGGAAACGCCTTCCCTCAGACTACTTGCCTTCAGCATTTGTTTAAAAGGGCCAGAGTGGCCATGACTATATCAGCATGTCGGAGATTGTTTTCAAAGATGTCAAAGTCTTCTCAAACCCCAGTGTATAAGTTGTGTTGGGGGCTGACTGATCTGGGGGGAATTCTGTTGGGTGAGGGGGAGCAGCAGAGGGGCAGGCATATGTCCAGCGGCTTGACAGCTGCAGCTGTATGGGTGTGGGGCTCATGGAGCTCCTGCCTGTGCCCGTGCAGGTTTTTCTCTCTGTGCCCTTCAGGCCTCCCAGTAGGCCTCGTGTTGGCTTGTGCCTAGCTGCTTTCATCTCTGGCTCAGTGCTGCGGGGGATGCTGTCTAGTTACAGATTTCTGCACCCTGCAGGGTGAAGAGGCTCAGTACAGGGGTCTCTGAGGGCCTCCTGGATCCTCATATGGCAGGCCAGATCTGTGCAATGTCGGGAGCCAGAGCCAAAGCCACAGCTAGGGCCAAGGAGCCAGGCAGGCAGGCAGGCAGGCCTGGATTAGCTGTTTTATGCTGTGTAGCTAGGGGCAATCTGGTGCCCTCTCTGTGTTTGGTGTCACTAGGAATCACGGCAGATGTCACAAGGCCTGAGATACAGCAGGACATCTGGAGTTCACTGGCCCCTCTGGACCAGAATCATGACTTGGTTTGAATACTGGGGGTCCTGGATCACAATTTCAGGAGTACATCCACACACACGCACCCCACCCCTCACACACACACACCATACACATATACACAGAGGTGGGGAGAGAGATGGTGGGCACAGGACAGCAGAACAGACATGACTCCAGTTCAGAAAGGTGACTAAACAAACATTGTTGAGAGACAGGACCTACTCTGCCCGGGCCAGGCTGTTTGTAGAGCTCTTGACCTCCTGGGAGGCGAGAGGAAGGTGAGCCGGGCCTAGGTAAGCATGCAGGGTGGGTGTGGGTAGGTTAGCAGGGAACATTCCAGAAGTCTGCCAAGTGCCTGCTGTTTCTCCCCAGTGGGAGAGGTGGAGCCAGCCTCTTTTAGCAAGTCTCTTTTGTTTGTCACTCATGGAGCCTCCAGGGGGGCTTTAGTGCTTCTATTTGGCTGCACACTCTACATTTCTCCTGCTGCTGCTCAGAAATGGCTGTGCCCAACTCGGGTGTCTGCCCAGCCCTCCCAGATCGCTGTGGATTTCTTGTGCTGGTGCTGCCCCGCCTCTTCTAGCAAACCCACAAGATACTCTGAATACATATTCTAAAGCTAGTCTTTAAAAAATATTCATAATTCAAAGAAACCAGCGAAATGAAAAGTCAATTTTGCATGTCCAGTTCCCTGTCAGTTCTCAACCTACAATCAATGTCTCACAGTCTTTAAAAAATATCTATCTATCTATCTATCTATCTATCTATCTATCTATCTATCTATCTATCTATCTATCTATCTATCTATCTATCTGCACCTGCATTTAAGAGAGAAACTAAAGAGAAAGAGGAGGGAAGAGGGGAAGAGAGAGGGAGGAGAAAGGAAGGAAGAAAGGGAGGGAGGGAGAAGTGTGTTCTGCCCTGAGGGTTAGATTCAGTGGGCAAGGCCCACGCCTCGGCATTGAGGATGCATGGCTGTCTGTCGCAGTGCAGTGGAAGGAAGAGAATTTGGGACAGGCTCCAGGCCACGCCCCCCATCCCTTTCCTCAGTGCAGCCCGTTTGGATGCAGGGCACACAAAGATGTGGTTGGTGCCGTGGCAAGTGCCTGTGATCTTCTTAGGTGCTAGGCTCCACGGGCGAGCAGAGGGGTCACTTCCTAGGTCCCAAGCAGCCAGTCTCAGGACACACCATTGAAAATATGGCAGGAGCGCCTCTGGGCTATACTTCAGCTTCATTCAGAGCCCCAAGAGAAGGCCCCCAGGAGGAAGTAAGGCCCACCATTCCCGTCCTCCTAGCTTCTCTTCCCTGTATATCTGGTCTTTGGAGTTTGTTCTCCCAGGATAGGAAACCCTGTTAATGCTCTGCAGAAGGAGAAGATTCCTGCTTCCAGTCTTGTAGACTTTTCCACTTGGGCTCATTGTCCCTTCTGCCAGAACCCCATGTCCAACTATCTGTTGGAGCAGAGTCTCCTACAGGTAGAGCCTAGCTGGCCTATGACTGCATTTCCTCTGCCCTGCTGTGCCCTGCCTTGCTGTGCCCTGTTAGAACCTCTGGCTACAGGAATCTTCCTGTAGCGTGTCTTCAACCTGGCCTCCCCACACTGAGTTGACCCAGCCACCAGGGTGGGAAAAAGATGTGTGTGTGTGTGTGTGTGTGTGCACACGCATGTGCCAGTACTCGTGTTTGAACTCAGGGCTTGGGTGCTGTCTCTTGGCCATTTTCACTCAAGGCTGGTGCTCTGCCCCTTGAGCTAAGGCTGAACTTCTGGGTCTTTGGTAGTTAATTGAAGATAAAAAGGTCTCATAGACATTTCTGCCTGGGCTGGCTTTGAATCATGACCTTCAAATTTCAGCTTCCTGAGTAGTTAGGCTTATGGCATGAGCCACCAGTGCTTGGTAGAAGAAACCTCTTGAGATGGAATGCTGGGCATTAAGGGAAAATCTAAGACGATCCCCGTGACAAATCCCTGTGACCTTTCACCACTGTGCAACTCTGATGAGTAGATGGACTGGTAACCAATTAATTAATTACTATATTGGGAAGCAATGTGGCACTGTGATTACAAACATAGACTGAAATCTGACTCTGATGATTGTGTTGGGACCTTGGACATGCTGCTGGCTGTTCTATGCCCTGTGGAGAATATTCAGGCAAGGTCTTGCCCTCGCTCACACAGTTTTCTAGGATCTAGGACTTGAAATAACATATGCATAAACTGGGTAGTTTCGAGCAGCAGTACTAATATACTACTATAAAAATAAGTCAGGGTAAGAAGGAAATGACAGAGCAGGAAGGACACTCTTAGAAAAGGCAGCCACAGGGCTGGGAAGGTGACTCAGTGGTAGAGTGCTTGCCTTGCATGCATGAGGTCCTGAGTTCGATTCCTCAGCACCACATAAGCAGAAAAACCCAGAAGTGGCGCTGTGGCTCAAGTGGTAGAGCGCTAGCCTTGAGCTGAAGAGCTGAGGGACAGTGCCCAGGCCCAGAGTTCAGGCCCCACAACCGCCAAAATAAAATAAAATAAAGAAAAGGCAGCCAGACCACGGCTTTTACCTTTGATCCTAGCTACTAGGGAGGCTGAGACTGGAAGGATCATGGTTCCAGGCCAGCCTCGGCAAAAAAGTCCACGTGACTCCACTTCGACAGAGGAAGCCGGATATAGTGGCACGTGTTTGTCATCGCAGCTACTCTAGGAAGTATAAACAGGTGAATCATGGTCCAGGTACATGCTTGGCTAGGAAGTGAAATCCTACCTCTAAAATAACAAGTTAAAAAAGGGCTGGAGGTGTGGCTCAGTGGTATAGTGCTTGTCTAGTAAGCTCAAGGCCTTGAGTTCAAATCCTAGTACCTACCTGCAAAAGAAGAAAAGAGAAGGCAGCCAGGAAAGATCTCTGAGGAGATGACATTATGCTTCCTCAGTGAAAGGGGACAGTTATGAGAAGGTCCAGGAGAAAATCATTCCACGCAGAGGAGAACAAGTGCAAAAGCCCTGAGGTAGAAAGGACCTTGGTATGCCTGAAGCCAGAAAGAGGACCAAAGTGGTTGCTGCTCACATAGTTGAAATGAGGCAGAATACAGAGAGATCTTGTTGGTTTGGTGTGGAGTTCAGGGGAAAATCCAAGAATGGGGCCTTCAGAACTCTGAGTTCTAAAAATAATTCTGAAAAGAAGGCTTCTCCTTTAATTACTGGGTCTTAGTTTCTCCATTAACATAACAGAGCAAAGGGCCTCAGAGGTCTGGAAAAACATGGTCCCTCCATGTCTTCAAGTCTCTGAACTTTAGAATTTCAAAACATCCCGTGCAGGGTTCTAGCATTATTGTACCAAGTATGTGTTTTCATTCAGCACATGAACTCTGTGACAGCCACCATCCATGCACAAGATGGCACTGAGCAGGGGATGTACGAGAACAGCGTTCATGCATTTCCTGCAGGCTGGGCTACTGGAAAGACAGTGCAAGGTTGGGTGGCCAGCATTCCCTGTCAGTGATCGGTGCCACTGGGCTCCTGGGCTGGTCACATGGAAAAAAAATATCAAAATTGGGCTGGGAAGGTGGCTCAGTGGTAGAGTGCTTGCCTTGCATGCCTGAGGCCCTGGGTTCGATTCCTCAGCACCACATAAGCAAAAAGAAAAAAGCCAGAAGTGGCACTGTGGCTCAAGTGGTAGAGTGCTAGCCTTGAGCTGAAGAGCTGAGGGACAGCGCCCAGGCCCAGAGTTCAGACCCCACGACCAGACCCAAAAAAACAAAACAAAACAAAATATCAAAATCCTGCCTTGAGCCAGACAATAGTGGCTTACTCTTGTTTTTTTTGGGGGGGGGAGTCCAGTTGTGGGGCCTGAACTCTGGGCCTGGGCGCTGTACCTCAGCTCTTCAGCTCAAGGCTAGCACTCTATCATTTGAGCCACCCTGCCACTTCTGGCTTTTTTCTTTTTGCTTATGTGGTGCTAAGGAATCGAACCCAGGGCTTCGAGCATACAAGGCAAGCGCTCTACCACTGAGCCACCTTCCCAGCCCCAGTGGCTTACTCTTGTAATCCTAGCTACTCTGGAAGCTGAGAGCTAGAGGAGCAAAGTCTGAGGATAGATTGTATGAAAAAGTGTATTAGACTGGATCTCCAAAATAACTGGCAAAAAAACCAGGGCTGGAGGTATGATTCAAGTCATGGAGCTCCAGCAGAACAAGAAACCAAGCAATAGTTAGGGCATGAGTTCAAACCTTAGTACTACCAGAAAAAGAAAAAGAAAAAAAAAACACCTTGTATTTGGGCCCTACCGATTTAGTGGGTGTGGTCTAGGCTGGAAGACTTCCTGTCCTCTCAGAATCCTGACCTCGACCTACTTCATTTCTGATCCTGCTAGGCTGGGGTGGAACAGGGCATGTTCAGAGCTGGATCTCAGCCTTCCCTGGATGACCATGCCTCCTCTGTCCAGGAATCAGTGTCTGTGCGTGGAGGGTATGGAGGGAGGCTGGAAGGGAGGGTGAGAAGAGAATGTCCTGCCAAGGCTGGCAGCATGGAGGGGGGGGGTAGTGTGAGCCTATGGTGTGGACACAGTGGACTTTATTGCCTTGCTGCTGGCAAAGCCATATTTTACCACTGACCTGGGCTTCAGAAGCCGCTGGGGAGCAGAGATGTTGCTCTGGGGTGGGGATCTGGGTGACCAGGAACAAGACTAGAGCTTTTGTCCACCATTCTCACCTTTCAGCTTCCTTGCCTGCTCTGGAGGGGTCATTTGGTCACTAGGCTCTAGTCCTGGTTGGCCTCTACGTGTCAGTCAATGTGACCTCCTCTTTGTGGGCCCCAAAGTTCCCATCATGAGACAGGTGGTGTGGTGGTGGCTGTTCACCCAGAGTTTGAAGCCCAGCTCTGGAGTCTGACCCTCTGATGACAAGGTATGGCTTGATCACTGCTCCACCAAGGCTCACCTAAGGGTGTGACTTTGGACTCTACTTAACTCTGAATCTATGACCTTCCTCTGTAAAGCCAGCAATTGGTGGTCCTTCTTGCAGAGGATTGTTGAGCTGGCTTGGAAGGCGTATAAAGCAGTGCCTGGCTCATAGTCAGAACAGGTTGAATATCCTCAACCCAGACATCCAAAACTTTCCAAGTACCATGTGACACTAGAAGTGGCAAATTCCACACATTGTTCACGCAAGCATGGTGAAAAGGCTGGGCGCTGGTGGCTCACGCCTGTAATCCTAGCTACTCAGGAGGCCGAGATCTGAGGATCACGGTTCAAAGCCAGCCCGGGCAGGAAAGTCCGTGAGACTCTTATCTCCAATAAACCACTCAGAAAACCAGAAGTGGTGCTGTGGCTCAAGCGGGAGAACGCTTGCCTTGAGCTGAGGAACTGAGGGACAGCGCCCAGGCCAAGAATTCAAGCCCCACGACCACAGAAAAAAAAAAAATGGTGAGAATATTGGATAACTACCTTCAGGCTATGTCTACACAATGCATATGGAAGCATTAATTCTGTGGTCAATCTCGAGTCCTATCCCCAAGGTATCTCGTTATGTTTATGAAGGGATGCTCTGCATGTAGTCTACATTTGCTAGTAGTTTCTTTTAACCCTGTTGTCTGAACTCAAGGCATTAACTTCCAAATTGTGAGAAAAATACTGTAAGGGGCACTGGGGAAAGCATTCAGCTCTACTCCTTCACCACAGACGCTTCATTTGCCCAGACTGCAGTTTTCTTTGTGCAAAGTGGCAGTGGAGTCCGCAGTAGACTGTGGTAGCACCAACTGGATCGTGTTCCTAGTGGTGCAAGTGTTGGGGGCCACAGATAGCAGGTGCTCAGCAAGGTTCTCCTATGTGGATGGGAAGTCCCCAGGAGTTTGAATGGGGATCCCGAGGGCTCTGGGCCAGTCCTGAAGCTGCCACATACAAGTTCTGTCCTATAGGCATTAGGGACACTCTGTCCCCACCCCAGAGTTTTCTGAAAGGAAGGCGCTCCTGTGCAGAGCACACAGTCAGTCATTTGTCCTTCATTTAGTTCTTCTTCCCCTCCCCCCCTCTTTCTTTCTTTGTGCCACCCTGGCCTGAGCTTTTGTGCTCACAGCTAGCATTCTACCACCTGTGCTATAGCTCCACTTTCAGGTGTTTTCATTTTGTTTTGTTTTGTTTGTGGTAGTTAATTGGAGATAAGAGTCTCAAAGACTTTCCTGCCTGGGCTATCTTCTAATTGCCATCCTCAGATCTCAGCCTCCTGAGTAGCTAGGATTCTAGGCATGTGTCACTGGTGCCTGGCTTCATTTAGCCATTTCTTGAGTCTGTTGTGTACCAGGCATTCAGGTAGGGGTGGTGGTGGCAGGGACTCTGCCTTTAAAGACATAAGTGTCTATGAGATAGAGGGACATTTTTTCAGAGGTCACTGAGAACACAGAAGGGGCCCTGGCATCATGGCAGTAGAGGCAGGTTGCTAGCAACTAGTGATGTCTACAGGTGGATTGATGGCTGGTGAGTGATGCATGGGGGCACGCTGAGACACCTGTGCTGAGAGCTGCTAGTGTCAGAGCCAGAGGGCCGATCATGCAAAGGGGGAAGAATCCAGCAGCAGTCTGTCTGCTAGGCCAGTGTTAGGTTTTTAAAAAGAGGTAGCCGAATAAGAACAGCAGCACGCACGTGGTATTCAGGTAAGGGGTAGGTTTATTCATCGTTCCGGCTGGCACCAGGCCATCTTGGTCCTCCACACGGTGGGGAAAGGCCTGGGAAAGAGAGCTGGGAGAGCTGGGAAAGAGAGAGAAAAGCGCTAGAAAAGAGAGAAAAGAGCGCATCTGGGAAAGGTGGGAAAGAGAGAGAGCTAGGAAAGAGAAGAGAAGGAAAGAGCTGAGAAGGAGCTAGAAAAGAGCAGAGAGAGAGCGTCTGGGCCTGGGCTAGGCCTTATCTAGGGTATGGGTGGAGAAAGGTGTGGCTACATCAAATTCAGATGTGACCCCAGCAGATGCAGATGTGACCTCTTCCAGGTGTCCCAGTTGCCTAGGTAACGCAGGTACTGGGTGGAGACTTTGCTGCCAGGGGGGTGGAGTCTGCTAGCCATTAGGAACGGACCTTACAGCCAGGACAGGAAGGGTGGGCCTGGAGGGGTGCAGCAGGTGGGGAGGGGGGCAGGAACTAGGCCGGGGCACCCCAGGCAAGGGGGCAGCATAAGCTAAGCTGGGGGCACCCCAGGTGGAGAGGGGGGCACCCCAGGCTTGGGGGAGGGGAGGGCTTGGTCTTGTCACACCGAAAGTGACTTGAAAAATCCTAGAACCTGATTGCATCGATAGGCAGGGCCTCACACAAGTCTGGGAGACCCAGGGCTCCCCTTTCCAGCGCACCCCACTGCTGTCCCAAAAGACAGCGGCTGGGGTGTTGGGGGAGGGTCCTCCCCTCCCGGGGACTCATCTGGCCTTTGTGTTTCAGATCACCAGAAGCTGGAACGGGAGGCCCGTATCTGCCGCCTGCTGAAGCACCCCAACATCGGTGAGCCCCAGGGGTGCAGCTGCTCTCTTTCTGCGGGGAAGGAGGCGACGGGAGTGGGAGAGAGGGCGTCTTGCATGGCTCCATGCGACTGGAGACCAGCTTGGTTCGGGGGAAGGTGAAGAAAAGGCCCTTCCTCCAGTCCCATGCTGCCTGCCGCAGCCTCCTTCAGAAAAGCTGTTCCCCGAGCTCCAGAGAGATCTAAATAGGCCAGGGGGGAGCTTCGCCTTGCACGGTGGTGGGGCCCACTCCCCAGCCCCCCACTCCCTACAGGGCCCACCCACATCCCTGCCACCCTAGTGTGGACTGTCCCTGGAGAAGCTGGGTGCGGGGCAGGTGTTCTGGGAGCCAGAACAGAGATGGACCCACCGCAGACAGAGCCCCACTGCCTGACACCCCCACTCCTATGCTAATGGGTGCAGGTCCCTGCAGTCAGGGCTCTGGGTCATGAGGGGAGGAGCAGCTGTGAGACCCAGCTATCAGGGTGGTGTTGGTAGATAAGCTGCCCTCTTGGGCCCCTTTTCAACATTGAGCAAGGGCAAGGCCTGAGCACTGGCAAAGGTGGAAAGGTGGGCCTGGCATGGGCCTGGGTCTCAGCTCTCAAGGCTGCCAGCAGATGCCAAGGCCCTGGTGGAGGAGCTAGCTCTGTAAGGAGGGTTCCTGCGATGACAGCAGCCACCACACCTTCCTGGGGTCCCAGGGTCCGAGGGTTCACTCCTGGAGGAAACAACTCAGTCTGCTATTTATACCCTCCCTTCTCCTGCCATAGTGGTGGGGGGGAGGGGAGAGGAGGAGGGCTGACCTGCAGCTCACCTGGGCTTCCAGTGTCTCCTGGGTGTGTGATGGAGGGGTGAGAGTGATTTCTAAACTTCCGGCACTTAAAGAGGCTGAGTGGCACATGTATGTGTGTGTCTGTGTACACTTGCGTGTGCTGCTCCATCTCTAGTCAGTGCTGCTCCCTCTATTTTGCACCTCTCTCCCCTTCCCATTCCCAGCCTTACTAGGAGGACTAAGCTATGGGTTTGGGGATGACAGATTGCAGGTCATACCCTAGGTTTGCTGTTTCATTGCTGTGTGACCTTTTGGACACTCTGAAGGTTTAGATGCAAAATAGAAATAGGAATAAGTGGAGACAGGTATAAACCTGCCCCAGTATTGGTACCAAAAGAAAAAAGAAAATATCACAAGAATGTCTGAAATTCATGACTTCAGATGTATAAATAAAAACTAGGCTACGGACTTGTTTCTTCTATGCTTGGGGGGTGGGAGAGGAACTATGTAACACAGGCTAGCCTCAAACTCACAATCTTGCCTCAACTTCTGGAATACTGGTATTGCAGGAATGTACGACCAAACCCAATTCAGATTTGTTTTGTCTTATGACTTTTTGTTCTGTTTTTATTTGAGACCAAGTCTCATTATGCAGGTCAGGCTAGACTCAAATTCAGGATCCTTCTTTCCCAGCCTCTTGAGTGCTAGGATTACAGGCATGACACATCATGCTTGGCTTATTCTATTTCCAAATCCTTAAAAGTCAAGTGACTATTCAACTCATTAGACACAAACACTCTACGCCCTGTAGCAAGAGGAGGGATGCCACTGCAGTGGTAGCCCGTGAATCCTACCTGTTCTCTTGGGCTTGGGCTGACGTGTTCTTCAGAGTGGTCCTCATTCTGACAGGGAATTGTAAGGAGGCCTGCCTCCTATTCCTGGGTTCTGGGGTGTGATTCCACCCCGCTCAGGCTGTAGCAGAGTTCAAAGCAACCAGAATAACCCTCGACCCCCCAAAGAGCCTGCTTCTGAGTCTGCTAGGAAGAGCTCAGGTGGGCAGCCATTCATACCAGCACAGTTGAGTCTGGGGTGGAGAAAACCTCCCCCAGCTTGGTGCATCCTACGAGCCCTGAGGCCTTTTCAGGTCCTGAGGCCGAGGTCAGAGGGTGGATCTCGGATCTCAGCCTTTCTGGCACACTTCCAAAGGGCCTTGTTCTAGATGGTTCTGGCTGTTGCATGGCTTCCCATTTGGGAAAGGGAATAAGCTGACCTCCCACCAGAGTAGATAGAAAGCATCCACTCTCCAAGAATCCTGGAAGGAAGGCGGGTGAGGAGAAGGAATGTAGTCATGCGTGGCCTTGGCACACTAATGCTTCGCTTACTGCGACTCTCCCGCAGGCTCCCCGTCTAGCATCAGCACTAGGGGAATGTGGGCTTCCAAGTGCACTGTGTGCAGGCTTCCCAGAAGTGGATCCGGCCAGGCGCCCCCATGGTAGGGTGGCTGGGGGCATAACCCTGGCTAACCTATGGTCGCTGGATTCTACAAATTAAAAAGACAGTCAGTACCCACACACATTTTTTAAAAAAATGAAGCCTGACCTTCACTTTGAAATGCACTAAGAAATTAAAATAGATGAGTGGAGAGCTAGTAAGGCCAGTAGATTAAATGCTATGAATGGTAAGTATAGAAGTGCTTACTTAAAAAAAATATTGGTATTACTATGTGATTCTACCATATGTACTCTTAAGATTTTGCTTTATAAGGCTGGGAAGGTGGCTCAGTGGTAGAGCGCTTGCCTTGCATGCCTGAAGCCCTGGGTTCGATTCCTCAGCACCACATAGGCAAAAAGAAAAAGGCCGGAAGTGGCGCTGTGGCTCAAGTGGTAGACCGCTAGCCTTGAGCTGAAGAGCTGAGGGACAGTGCCCAGGCCCAGAGTTCAGGCCCCACGACCGGACCACAAAAAAAAAAGATTTTGCTTTATATATTTAAAACATCTGTCGGGTTGTTGTTGTTGTTGTTGTTGTCGGTTGTAGCTCTTGAACTCTGAGCCTGGGCACTGTCCCTCAGCTGAGCTGAGCCACAGCACTGAGCCACAGTGCCACTTCTAGTTTTCTGGTGGTTCATTGGAAATAAGAGTCTCATGGACATTCCTGCCCCGGCTGGCTTTGAACCGTGATCCTCAGATCTCAGCGTCCTGTGTAGCTAGGATTACAGGCGTTAGCCACTGGTCCTGGCTGTTGTTTTTTTGTTGTTTATTTGTTTTGTTTTTGTTTTGCCTGTAGGTGCTAGGGCTTGAGCTCAGGTCCTCATGTTCTTGATTGGCTTGTTTTTCTCATGGCTGACACTTTACCACTTGAGCCACACTGCTACTTCCAGCCTTTTGTTGTTGTTGTTGGTGGTGGTGGTGGTCATGGGGCCTAAAACTCTGGGCCTGGGCGCTGTCCCTCAGCTCTTCAGCTCAAGGCTAGCACTCTACCACTTGAGCCACAGTGCCACTTCCTGCTTTTTCTGCTTATGTGGTGCTGAGGAATTGAACCCAGGGCCTCATGCATGCAAGGCAAGCGCTCTACCACTGAACCACCTTCCCAGCCCCACTTCCAGCCTTTTGCTGGTTAATTAAAAGTCTCATGGACTTTTCTGTACGGACTTCAAGCTATACTTCTCAGATCTCATCTTCTGAGTAGGTAGGATTACAGGTGTGAGCACTAGTGCCCAGCACATCTGTCAGTTTCTATGAGTTTATGTCACTTTTTGTGGCTGAGAAAAATTAAGGGAGGAAGTAGTTCTTTTGGCTCATGGTTTCAGATCTTTCAGTCCCTGAGGGACTGGCTCTGTTGTTTCTAAGCTGTGGTGAACTGGATATTAGGAAGTACTTAGTAGAGTGCAATGCTCACTCATGCCTGCCCAGAAGGGAAGAAGGGAAGAGGGCAGTGCCTCGGGTGGGACTGGGGGTGTCAGGGACAAGATATCCTCTTCAGCAGGCACTCCTGGTGACCTGCTTCTTCCAACTAGGTCGGCAGCTCCACACAGCCATTCGGCTATGACTTCATCAGTGGGTCAATCCACGGACAAAGCTAGTGAGAGCCTGTTTGGTGATGCAATCACCTCTCAATAGCGCCACCAGCTGGGGAACCCAGCTTTCAACACATAGACTTTTCGTGGGGAGACACTTCATAGCCAAACCATGACAGTATATAATGTCATTTAAGAAAGTCTTACTATTTTGCTGGAGGTGGTGGCTCATGCCTGTAGTCCTATCATTCATGAGATGGAAACAACACAATCATGAGTTCAAGGCTAGCCTGAATTATATAAATGAGACCTTGTCTGGAAGTGGCGCTGTGGCTCAAGGTGGTGGAACACTAGCCTTGAGCACAAAAGCTCAGGGACAGTGCCCAAACCCTGAGTTCCAGCCCCATGACTGGCAAAAAAACAAAAACAAAAAAAAACCCAAACAAGACCTTGTCTTAAAACCCTAAGACTGAGATATGGCTCAGTGGTAGAGTGCTTGCCTAGATAACCCCTGGGTTTGATCCTCCGCTATGACTTAGGGGGGAGAATGGCTTAATATTTTAGAGCATTCTCTTTGGTTGTGTTTCTTTGTGCTGGTACTGGGGCTTGAACTCAGAGCCTCACACTCTCATTAGGTTTTTTCATGCGAGGCTGGGACTCTACTACTTGAACCACATATCCCCTTCTGGATATTTTGGTGTTTGAGACTGGAACTTGAACTCAGTGCCTAACACTTTTGCCCATTGGCTAGCACTCTATGCTTCTGGCTTTGGGGAGTTCATTGAAGATAAGAAGATAAGATTTTTATTTTCCTCAGGCTGGCTTCAAACTGTGATCTTCATTTCTCAGTAGCTAGAATTATAGGCAGGAGCTCCCAGCTCCCAGCTTTTAATTTAAGCTTGTGCCCTGTCATCTTCTATCTCTTGTCCCCAGGGGTTACCCACTTGCCTTTCTGCCTCTGAAGTTTTTGTGATTATGAGAGTCATAGCCATCCAAGGGGCTCAGGTAGAGCTTGAACTCACAGCCTGGGTGCTGTCCCTGAACATTTTTTGCTCAAGGCTAATGCTCTGCCACCTTGAGCCACAGCTCCACTTCCAGTCTTTTGGTGTTTCATTGGAAAAAAGAGTCTCACAGACTTTCCTGCTTGGGCTGGCTTCGAAGATCTCAGCCTCCTGAGTAGCTAGGATCACATGAGCCATCACTGCCTGCCAGGGAGGCTCAGTTCTGAGTCAGCAACATATACATGATCAAAACTGAGTGGCGTAGGGCTTACAGTGAAAAGCCAGTCTTCCCCTACTTCTTTCTCCCATGGGTACTCTAAAGCTGCTTCTCTGAGTTCTCCCAGACTGGTGCCATGCATAAGCTTAGTGAATACATCCTCTTTAGAAAGAATCATACTGCATGTACTTTGCTTTTCCACTAAACAACATGATCTGGAGATGATTCCAAGCCAGTGGCTATATAAACTGCCGCATTGTTCTAGCAGCTGCCTGGCTTTTCTTTGTGAGGGAGGAGCCTAGCTGACCTGGCCGGCCGCGAGCACATTTTTAGGCTGTAGCTCAGGAAAGGCCGGGCCCTCTGCTCTCACAGCTGGCCCTGTGCTGACAGGGCAGAGCCCTCAGGGTCAGCCCTGGGTCTTAGGCCCTTCTGTTAAAAAGCTCAGGTGCTTTTGGGAGCTCTGGGTTCCTGGGAGTTTTCTGTTGCTGGTAAATGAGTTGTGAAGAGATAGCAGCTTTACAGCAGCCTGAGCTCAGGGACAGACTGCTGTCACTCCCACCCCAGCTCCCACAACTTGATTGTCTTTCAGACATAGGAGCAGAACAGGGGTGTTAGCTTAAGACCAGCACTGTGTGAGTACCAACTGTATACCTCATATACTTCTACAACAACACTTGTCATTTTTTTTTTGTCGGTTGTGGGGCTTGAACTCTGGGCTTGGAGGTTGTCCCTGAGCTCTTCAGCTCAAGGTGAATGCTCTACCACTTGAGCCACAGCACCATTTCCAGTTTTCTGGTGGTTAATTGGAGATAAGAGTCTCACAGACTTTCTTTCCTGGGCTGACTTTGAACTGCCATCCTCAGATCTCAGTCTCCTGAGTAGCTAGGATTACAGGTGTGAGCCACTGGCTCCTGGCCACACCTGTAATTTAAAAAGTGTCATTTTTGTAGTCCAGGCAAAGGAAGAGGCTCAGAGAGGCTTAGCAACTTGTCCACAGTCACACAGCCATCCAGTCCATGGCAGAAATTAGAGCCACAGGCTTCTTCCAAGACTCAAGCCTGCCCACCAATGGAACTGAGGATTGGAGAAGGGAGAAGGTCCAACTTTGATACAACAGAGGTCTTCCGTCTTTAGATCTAGGCTTTTTTCAGCAATGCCTGAGGTCTTGGTGTGACATCTGCATATGTCCAGATGTCACTAGAAAAGCGTACAGTGCCAAGTGTGTACTCAGTGGCTGAGTAGTTGGGATATTGGCTACATGGGACTGAGAGGGGCGGTGTGGGTGGCAACCAGCGTGTCCAGATGTAACGAATTGCCTTGGCCCCTCCCACAGTGCGGCTCCATGACAGCATTTCTGAGGAGGGACACCATTATCTGATCTTCGACCTGTGAGTCTGCATGTGGGTGCGGGGTGCCTGGGCAGGGGTGGCCTGAGGGGTCCCCAATGTCTTCAGGGTGGGCTGCACTCCTTCTTCTATTCAGAGTCTCTCCAATGTGGCTGTCTTATCACCTAAGCTGTACAAGCTGCATTTGCTGATTAAAACCCCAAGCACTTTTAACCAGCATCATATATTTATTTTTGTTTCTGTGCTATTTGTGGCCAGTGATGCCGGTTTGCCATTCGTCATGGCAATATAAAGTTGCCTTTTGGAATAGGATTTGTTAAAGCCAGAGTGAAATGACAGGCTGGTTCCTGGGTGGGTGGTAGAAATCAACAATGCCACCGGCTTTAGAACAGGCTTTGCTGGGCTGTCGATAATTGGAGAGGAGGGTGAAACACACTTGCTGTCTGAGAAGACTTTGCATTTTCTCCTCAACTTTCCTGTAACTCAAAGCTGTTCTACAAGTCCTCAAGACTTCCCCTGCAAAATAACCCCCAAAGAGCTGGGCTGGACATGTGAATCGAGTAGTAGAGAGCCAGCCAGCCTAGAAAGCTCAAGGCCCTGAGTTCAAACCTCAGCATGGAAAAGAGAGAGGGGTGGGGGAAGAAGAAAGGAAGAGAAAAAGAAAAAAAAGAACAAAGAAAGAGGAAAGGCAGGCAGGTTATAACCGGTTGTAGTGCGGTATGTCTATAATCTCAGCACTTGGAAGGCTGAGACTGGAGGATCAAGGGTTTAAGTACAGTCTGGGCTACATAAAGGGAGGAGAGGGTGTTAAAGCTAAGTTGTAGAGCAAATAGAAAAGTAAAAAACTAAGCCTTTGGGCTTTCAGGAGCTTAACAAACATAATCATGTGTTCCGAGCCCCGTCCCAATTAAACATAAGCCAGTCAGGACCCTGTTGGGGGGCAGTTGGAAGAAGGAAAGGTGTGCTGGATAGGGACTTGGAATAGCAGGTGGCCCAGTGGGCTGGCCCCTCTTCCCAGATGACTTCCCGGAGAGCCCGCAGGCTGGGTGGCGCTGGAGTCTCAGTGAGGAGGTGACTCCACTCTTGTCTCCCCAGGGTCACGGGTGGGGAGCTGTTTGAAGACATTGTGGCTCGGGAGTATTACAGCGAAGCAGATGCCAGGTGAGTGCCAGGTGGAGCCCGGCAGTGGTATCTGGGTGCAGGGCGTTTTGCCTTCTGCCAGCTTCTCAGAGGGCCTGCCCTCAGCCTCGCCCCTTCCTCTCTCCCCAGTCACTGTATCCAGCAGATCCTAGAGGCTGTGCTGCATTGCCACCAGATGGGGGTGGTGCACCGGGACCTGAAGGTGAGCAGCCTATCCCAGCAGCCCTTCTGGCCCGCGCTCTTCCTGCCCTCCCTCCCTCCCCCTCGAGCTGGCTGCACCTGGCTGGAATCCCTTTAAACCACCTGAGTTAGACGGGTGGGAACATTTCCCCCACTAGCAGATAAGGAAGATAGGGCCAACTGGATTTGGGCCCCAGGGCTCTGGATGCCCAGGCCCAGATGCTTTGTTGTTCAACCAGGGTGGGAAAGGCGGGCGGGCTGGGTTCAGATTCCAGCCAGGCAGTGGTCCAGCCACTTGGCCAGGGATTTCTTGACCTCCTGGCTTCCCTAGAGAGGGGGTTGCCAGAGAAATCACATAGTCATTGAGAGCACAGTGCCTGGGACACAGGCCTGCTACTGTCCGTTTGTTGTTGCTCCAGTCCTGGGGCTTGAACTCAAGGCCTAGGCACTGTCCCTGAGCTTTTTCTGCTCAAGGCTAGTGCTCCACCACTTGAGCCACCGCACCACTTCTGGCTTTTTGGGGGAGGTAATTAATTAGAGATAACTGTCTCAAGGACTTTCCTGCATGGGCTGGCGTTGAACCGCTATGCTCAGATCTCAGACTCCTGAGTAGCTAGGATTACAAGTGTGAGCCACCAGGGCCCAGCTTCCTGCTGGGGTTCTTGTTCTGGGATGTCTGGTAGGCCAAGTCCTCACTCAGCTGACTGGAAGGAGGAACGGGGCAGGTCTACGAGTCTACGGCCAGCACAGGCTGCACAGCTCTGTCCCATCAGACCTCTGCAGAGCCTGTGGCTGGTAGCTCACAAGCATCCTTGCTTTGCCCAATAGGAAACCAAGGCTGCAAAAGTCTTTAAGATTTTCCCAAGGAATGCATTCCAGTTCTACCTGACCTTCAAATGCCAGATTCTGTGACCTCAGGGTCCCCTCAAGTCACTTCATATAGCTACTGCTTGGCCCAACCTCTTCCAGGGTGACTTTGCCAGTCTCTGGCCTTTAGGGACAGTGAACTCACCTAGGGAGATGCCCCTGGCACCATCTCAGAACCTTCTTTTGCTTGGTCATGTTGCCACAGCAATCAAGCATACAGCTCCCAACACCCCTGGAGGGACTCAGGCAGCTTTGTTGCTGCTGCTGAGTCTTTGGCAGGTGGTATTACACATTTCCACAAGGGATATGGCTCCAGGCCCCTCCTTACCCTGGACACCCTCCTGAGCATGCTCCATCCAATCGGAGTCTTTCTTCTAGTCACAGTCCTCCGCACAGAATCCCTTGCCCCTCTTTTTGTGTGCCCTCCAAGATTGTTCCCATTGTACTACAGCCCTTACACACAAACACACACACACACACACACACACACACACACACACACGGAATGAGGAGGAAGAAGAGGAGGAGGAATTGGAAAAGGAGGAAAACACCTTGATTTAGGCCATTCTGTCACTAATTGGTGACACAGTCAGCAAATTGGGACAGAAAACTGCTGAGACCCAGGATGTGTTGGGAACGTAGTCCCCAGAGGACAAAGGAGGCCTTGTGAAGCAGGCAGCCGGAGCTTCATTTGTCTGGGCCTGGGCTAGCTTTGGACAGTGGAAAGTTGGAGGTGTGACTCCTTGAAAGGCCCACTGGGGGAAAGTAGGAGGAAGAGTAGAAAGCAGCTGTCCCCAGACACCTCCGCAAGCAAGAAGTCTGTGCATCTTAGAAATCAAGAAACTAACACAGACAACACTGCAAGGTGTTTTTATGGATTGTCTCCATCAATCTAGACAGACTGGACCCCTCAAGTCAGGTAGGGACTGTCTCTATTACTCTGGGAGGAAACGAAGGCTTGGAGAAGTGAAATCACTTGCATAAGTGTGCCAGTGCTAGGACCAGAAGTGTGGAGGACACCCTCTTATTTCCCCTTGCTCTGAGTTCCAGGGGAGACGAGCAGGAAGTGAAGGATTCAGGGAGAGCAGGGCAGTTGAAGGCAGTGGCAGCCTTGATGGCCCAGAAGCCAGGCTCAGGGCTTTCCCCAAATCAGCTGTGGCCCATTGGGCTCCACGGCCTCTCAGCCAGGAGGGATTAAGGAATGTGTTTTTGCCTTGATTTTGATTATCACCTACCAGCTGAGTGACAGTGGTCAAATTACTCAGCCTCTCTCAGCCTCAGTTTTCTCATCTTTACACAAATGACAACTACTTAGAACACATGACAATGAGAACTAGGATGTTACCAAGGGCTCCTTTGGGTAGAGTAGACATCTTTGCATAAGGATGAGAACTAGACAAAGAGAAACTTGGACTAGTGCATAGAAAACTTGGCAGGGGGAGGGAATAGGAAGTACACAGGCCTGAGGTTGGAGCAAGGGTTTCTGAGATGGCAAGTGCTTCTTCCCTATCATAGTGGCTGTACATTTCATCCTGCCCTGCCTGCCCCCTGCCCCTGCTCCCAGTCCTGGGCTGACTGGTGGAGAAAGGTTACAAAGGATGGAAGTCCTGCCATAGGAGAATCCCCTTCCTGGCACTGCAGCTCTGGATTCTGTGGCCAGAGGTGGATGTGGGTGGGAAGCTTGAGCTTGTCCAGCTACTCTCCCTAGGCCTAGGCTGAGAAACAGCATCGACTGACTGTATCTTAGCCTCTCCTCTCCCCTCTTCTTCCTCCCTCACTCCTTTCCTCTTCCTGGTTCTGTGAAGCCGGAGAATCTGCTGCTGGCCTCCAAGCTCAAGGGCGCAGCAGTCAAGTTGGCGGACTTTGGCCTGGCCATTGAGGTGGAGGGGGAGCAGCAGGCATGGTTTGGTGAGTGCTGCCGAGAGTGGCAGGGGTGGCAGTTATGCGTGGCATGGGGCTCCTGGGGCCTCTGGCTGGGGGGAGGAAGGGAGGGTTGATGAGGTGTATGCTGGGTGTCAGGGCCTGGCCTAGGCAGGGCTGTCACCACAGTGGCATCTGGATGCCACTTGCTGCACACACCCTCTGTGCCCCTTTGTGTCTGCATAGGAGGTCAATGTCCTGTTTTTACAGATGACAGGACAGGCATGGGAAAGGTCCAGTGAGCTTGAAAGAGGCACAGCCAAAACCTGAGCTCCGATGACCCAGCACACGGATTTTGGTAGAATGGCGCATACTTCAACAACCTGGGGCTACTTTTTAGTGGCAAGATTCATTCATTCATTCATTCATTTTGGTGATCCTGGAGTTTGAACACAGGGCTTTGTACTGCTTGCTAGTCAGGTGCTTTTACTGACGAATTCCAGCCCTTAGAAGGCAGTATCAATCAATGATAAGAACTAAGCTCTGGGCTCACATCCTGACTCTGCTACATAAGAAGTGTGTGACTCTAGATGAGTCATTTCACCTCTCAGAACCAGCGTTTTCTTATCTGCAAAGGAACAATACTAATATGCTCCTCAAGGTTGTATGAAGGTCACTAAGAACAAGAGCAGAAAGAGCTCAGCTCGGTGCTTAGCACATACACTCAACAACTAGGAATTAAATACTAAGGCTACTTATTTATGTGTTTTGTGTGTCCTTCATTCCAACTAATCCTCTCAATCGTGGGCAAGTATTTGACAGATGAGGAAACTGAGGCCTGGAAGGTAAAGAAACCACCCAAGGGACTTAGGGGCAAAGTTAGAATGGAGCCCAAGCCTGCAGACAGCTCACAGGCAGCTCCCACCCAGAAGTGTGGTAGGCAAAGGGCTCAGCTCTCTGCACAGGAGACAAGGACAAGAATCTGTACTTCCGGCCATCAGCAAGTGGTTAGCAGTGGCTGCTGGGAGGGTTGTGAGAGAGGTCTAGCGACAGTGGGAAGGAAGCAGCTCGGTGACTGATTCCTGCTGTCTGGCTGTGAGCTCTGGAGCAGGGAATCACGGCAAGCATGCCGTGTACTTATCAATCAGATTGGGTTCAGAGGTTTTGCTGAGGTTTGCTGGTACAATTGCGACTGGGGGTTAGGGTGGGGGGGGGAGGCAGGGGCTGTTTTCCAGCTCCAGGGCAATCCTCATCCCCTCTCCCGGCAGGATCTTGCTCCAGATTACTCACGTGCCAACCTCTGTGTGTGTGTCTGCCTGTGTGTGTGTCTGGGGAGCAGGGTTCGCAGGGACTCCTGGATACCTCTCCCCAGAAGTGCTGAGGAAGGACCCATACGGGAAGCCAGTGGACCTGTGGGCCTGCGGTGAGTCCCTCTGAAGGCCCGTTTGCTCCCCGGGCTCCCTCTCTCTTTTCCACTGCCATCATCCCTCTCCTATCTTTCCGCCCCACAAAAGGTTTAAAATGGTCTTGGTCCTCTCTCCAGGGGTCATCCTGTACATTCTGCTGGTTGGGTACCCCCCTTTCTGGGATGAGGATCAGCACCGCCTGTACCAGCAGATAAAAGCCGGTGCCTATGATGTGAGTGCCACTCCCCTCTCCAGCCCCTCCTCCCTCTGCTGCTCCTCCCCAGGGAATGCCAGCACACAGCGAGGCCCAGAGAGTCCAGGACTCCCCTTCTGCCTTCCCAGCCCACTTAGATCCCTCTGCCACTCTCTAGTTCGGGGACAGAGAAGGAATCCCAGAGAAGCGGAAAAGCTGACCAGGGCCAGGTGATGACCATGAGAAGGCTAGGGCTCCAAGTGGCTTGGGGCTCCAAGTTTGGGCATTTCTCCCATGGGGCCCTAAAAGGCTGAAGCAACACCAATGTGGGGTAAGAAATGAGGACTGGCCAGAGTTTTTCTCTCTCATCTATAACAATACTAATGTAACTAGTACTTCTGCAGTGCTCTTCTGAGTGTTTTACTTTGCTTATACATTTAATCCTTAGCCCAATCTGTGATATCATATAACTGTTATTACCTCATTTTATAGATAGGGAAGTTAAGGCACAGAAAGGAGAAACCACTGCCCCAATCACATAGCCAAGACATAGAACTGGGATTTGAACCCCCAGCAGTCTGGCTCTTAGTGAGCATGCTTCTGACTACTAGGCTGTGCCGCTTTTCTGCAAGGTCGGTATCTGGCATGTGAGGTGTCAGGTGATTCAGATGGCATTTTAGCCTCACAATGCCCCCAGGGATGGCTCAGGAGCTCACATGACTTTTCCCAGATCTCACAGATTAGAAGAGGGAAGCTGGACTTGAACCCAGGCTTAGTGTAGACTGTGGCTCCCTGCCCTGCTCTCTTGACAAACCCCAGCCTCAGAAAGACAGAGCTGGGTCTCCTTTCCCATTGGCCATGTTCTGGACTGTCCTAGGGTCAGCGGCCCTGTTCCATTCCCTGGTCCACGAGAGTTCCAGGCTGTGGTTGTGGAAACGTGAGTGGTTAGGCAGCAGGGCCCCTGACTGCTCCCCTGCCAGTCAGGGGCTGAGGGATCGCAGGGGTGGCCTGGGGCAGGCTGGGCAAACCTGGCCCCTCTGCCCCTTCCAGTTTCCATCACCGGAATGGGACACCGTTACTCCAGAAGCCAAGGATCTGATTAATAAGATGCTGACCATCAACCCATCCAAGCGCATCACAGCCGCTGAGGCCCTCAAGCACCCCTGGATATCGGTGAGCTTCGGAACCCGGGACCCTCAGAGGCTTCTCCTGCTTCTGGCCTCATGGCCCCCATGTGGGGCTCGGGAGGCTTAATCCAAAAGTCTCTGGCCCTCCTAGTCCTTGGAGATGATGTAGAAATGGGTAAGACCCTGGGCTGGAATCGGAACAAGGGGTGACATGGGCACTGACTGTCTCAATGCCAGGACTTCAAGCACCCGGCACCACCCCCTAGAGCAAAAGTTACCCAGCTACATCTCTACCAACCCTGGGGAACCTCAGGCAGCCACAGCATCCCTTCTGCCTTCATCTCAGACTTCCTTCTCTTCCTCTAGCACCGGTCCACTGTGGCCTCCTGTATGCACAGACAGGAGACCGTGGACTGCCTGAAGAAGTTCAATGCCAGGAGGAAGCTGAAGGTACTGGGCCATCGTCTTTTGACACACTCCCCTTCCCTCCTCCCACCAGGCCCACTCATTCTTTCCTCACGGATTCAACAAGCATGTCTTGAACGTTACTGCATGCTGGCTGGTGGGGCTGGGCTTTGAGGAGTGAGCAGTGGCTTAGATCCCGTCCACACCCCATCTGTGCTGGGTGGAGAAGACACCAGGATACTTCGGGCCACTGGTGAGTGCTGTGCCTCACCGAGGGGAGGATGCCAGAGCACAGTGGCACTCCCGGGTGGAAGGACTCAGGAAGAATACCAAGAGGCCTTCCTGGAGCCAGTGGCATTTAAGCTGATGATGAAGGACAAGCAGGTATTAGCCCATTGTAGAGTCAGATTAGGAAGATGCTCCAAACGGAGTGAAGGCTTGCACAGCCCTTGGAATCACAAGTGGTTCCTGGTGGCTGGAGGAAGCGTATGCAGGCAAAATATGATTGGGGAGACCACAGTGGGATCAGAGGGCCAAGATGCTACATGCTGAGAATGGTCAAGTCACTCAGAGAATGGTTGTTATCTTGAGAAAGCTACTGTGGGATCCATGTGGCCCTGAGCTACCTCTGTCAGCAAGTTCTGTGAGTGCATGGGGTGGGGACAGTACCTCCTGTAACAGGCAAGCCATCACACATCCTGAAAGGACTCTGGAGGACAGATGTAGAAGTCCTGGCTCTCTGGGAACTTCCTCACCTAGGCTTTGAATGAGGACTGAGAACAGGGACACAGCCAGGGAGTGATGGCTGGCACAAAGCTAGGAGAACTGCACGGTGCTCCAACACATCACGGGAGCCATGTGGGACTCAGGGACTCTTAACATCACAGACAACTGGATTAAGACAGTGTCTGACTTGGATGCAGGTCCAAATCAGAGAGTGTCAGGATAAGGAGCTGTGCCCCCCAGAGCCTTGTGGAGAGAGGTTTCTCCCCATGGTGAATCCTCCAGGTCTGAGCTCAGGGGCCATGGAGGATGCGCTAGTCTTGGAGTGAGGTACTCTCAGCCCAGTAGAGGGACTCATGGCCTGCCATACTTGCCTAAGCAAGAAGTTTCCATGGCCTTTCGAGGTTCCCCACTGGCCACAAGTCCAACAGATTTAGCCAGACAGACTATTGGACCTATTAATATCCATGCCCTGGATGGCCCTGTTCCAAGAGCTATGCGAGACAAAGCTGGCTTCTCCAGGAAGGGGGAAGTGAGTCTGGGCTGCTGGGGTGGGGGAAAGGAGGATAAATGATGGGGAAGGGGCAGAGGCTTTGTCTTTGTCTACCTGTCCTTCTCCACGCCCCTCCTGTTCATCTCTCTCTTCTCCTCCTCACGGCCACCTCCTTCCCGGCCCTCCTCTTATGCGTTGCAGGGAGCCATCCTCACCACCATGCTGGCCACCAGGAACTTCTCTGGTAGGTAGTGGGCCTGGAGCCCCACATTAGTCTACTTGGATCATTGTCCTATTGAGTAGCTGGGTGACCCCAGAATGGGGTCTGCAGATGGTGACATGACTGAGTCTTAAATCACCTGCCACAAAGCCAAGAAGAAGAACTCAAAGGTCAGCAAACCAAGACCTCATTAGCCATCTATCTGGAGATCCTGGGGTTCTCTGGCTGGGCCAGTCCGAGGGAAGGCTTACAGAAAGTCAACGGACATGGAGCTAGGCTGAGGGAACACCAGCAACATCCTACCACCACAAGAGCCCTGTGCCCGGCTGCCCTCAAGCTTCTGCTCTGTGACCTCAAAGACAAGGCAGTAGGGGCTGGTGTCATCTCTCTTTTCCAGACCAGGAAGCAGAAGCTCAAGGAGGTGCTTTCTGACTCACCCCCAGCTCATAGGACTAGAGAGAGGCAGAGCTTGCCTTTAGCATTGCTCTGACAAACCCAGAGCAACTGGTCATAACCAGATTGGGCCAACAAGGAGAGCAGCAGGAGCCTCTCAGACCTGTGTCCAGTGCAGGCTGGTCAAGGCAGGGAGAACCCAAGTACCTTACCAGGTGGCCCCAAACAGAGAAGAGGAAGAGATTAGCAAGCAGTTCCTTGTGGCACATAGGCTGGTGCCAGGCTGGCACCGCCTAAGGCCTGTCTCTAGGGGAACCCTGGGCATGGATAGGACAGCAGAACAGATATAGACCACAGATATAACAACTCGCCCGAGGGGCTAGCTCTGGGCCAGCACAGAGGCTTGCCTGCCTTGAGTGTGGCCAGAGGTCAGCTCTAAGTAGGGCATAGGCCTGGCTTCCACTAGAGGGACCATGTTGCCCGTGTGACCAGCCAGGAGGGAAGGCCATGGCTCAGCATCAGGCTCTCCCTAGACAAGGTCCTGCTGTTTGTTAAGTTGAAAGCTGAGCCTCCCATCCCAGACAGTCAGAGTCTTTTAAACAACAACAATAACAAAAACAATGGCAACGCTCTGAAGCATGCTAGTCTAGAGTCGTAGCATAGGCCCCATGGTTTACACCCCATCTCTAACCGTGCTTTGTATAGCCACAGCTATTGACAGATAGATAGATAGATAGATAGATAGATAGATAGATAGATAGATAGATAGATAGATAGATAGATAGATAGATAGATAGATAATGGCTATTTAAGATTATTTAAGATGTGACCCTGGTTTTGTTTTGCTTTTTGTTTGTTTGTTTGTTTGGGTCCGGTTGTAGGGCCTGAACTCTGTGCTTGGGCGCTGTCCCTCAGCTCTTCAGCTCAAGGCTAGCGCTCTACCACTTGAGCCACAGTACCACTTCTGGCTTTTTTCTTTTTGCTTATGTGGTGCTGAGGAATCGAACCCAGGGCCTTATACATGCAAGGCAAGCGCTCTACCACTGAGCCACCTTCCCAGCCCCATTGACCCTGTTTTTGATCTTCAGCATGGGGGGGAGGAGGGAGAAAGACAATGACAAAAAAATTTGGATTTTTTTTTTAATGCTGGTCCTAGGGCTTGAACTGGGGGTCTAGGCACTGTCCCTGAGCTTTTCTGTTTAAGGCTAGTGCTCTATCACTTGAACCACAGCTCCACTTCTGACTTTTTGATAGATAATTGGAGATCAAAATCTCATGGACTTTCCTGCTGGGGCTGGCTTTGAACTATGATCCTTATATTTCAGCTTCCTGAGAAGTTAGAATTATAGGCGTGAGCCACTGGCGCCTGGTTTGGAATGAGTTTTTAAGCCTTGCAAAATCTCATAGAAAGCCTGAGGTTTCTGTGATCTCTTAGAAACCAGAATCTGGGCATACTGGATGCACATTCTCCTTCAGGTACATGGGCAAGAATCCCCTGCCTCCTCCTCTTCATCTTGGCCCAATTCACAAAGTCTGCAGGGGACAGACACTCTTCCCAGACATGGGTGACAGAGCAGCCTTCCATAGCTTGGTTTGTAAGTGGGAAACAAGGATGAGTCTTGAGGGGTCATAGGTGGGAATGTGGGGAGAGGGGGGCAGGGGAGCTTGGGGGCAGGACCAGCTACGAGACCATCCCTGAGAGTCCCTGGGACATTGGCATCCTCGACCCCACTCCCTAGCTCACATGCTCAGGACTGCCTGGAGAAGAGCTAATCATGGCTGTGGCTTACTGAGCACCAACTGTATACATAGGCTCAGTGCTGTGCTAAGCATTTCCTGGAGTCCTGCCTCATTTAAGGTAGTGCTTAAGGTCTGAAGAAGCTAGATGCCAGGCAGGACAAGGCTGGACAGTCATGTCACTTCCTGGCTGATGCCCACTGCCAGGGCTCTCCAGCCAGGAAATGAGGAGGGAGGAAAGGGATATGACAGAGGTGGAGGTGGAAGGCCTTTCGGAGAGAGAGGGGGAGGGGAGGGAGGGAAGGAAGGGGGAAGGAAGAAGCTGTTGTTGCTCTTCACCACCAGGAATATAGGCAGCCCCAGTGTGAGGCCTGACTGAGTCTGAGATTGCCTCTGGGGAGAAAGGCAGGGGCTGGGAATTGGACAGGGGTGGGCCCCAGTAGGGGGCATCTGCTTCTTGTCACCAGCAAAATGCAGCCTGCAGCTGTCTAGAGTGAGTAGGCAGGACTGACACATGACCTCTGAGGCAGCATGGGGCTAAAATTAGAGAAGACCAGGGAGGGCGGGCATGTTAGGGGGGAGGGTCCAGCCCCCAGCCGGGCAGCAGGCCTCAGCGGTGACTACCGTCCAGAGGGAGTCCCCAGGCTGAGGCAGTGATCCTGCCGTCTCTGGACGGGCTGGATACAGCCTCCACCCATGAAGCCAGAGAATTGTATTTGAAATTGTTGGGAACTGGGGATCCCAGGGCCACCAGTGGGACACAGGCAGTCCCCTTCTGCTGAGGAGGGAGGAGGAGGAGAAGCAGCAACCGCAGCAGCAGGAGCAGCAGCAGGAGCAGCAGGAGGAGGAAGTCTCCCCCAAGCTGCTGAGCCAGCTCTGTTCCTACATCGTCCACTCTTTAGCTCCTTGCCGGATACTTGTGGATGCTGCTCTTTCTGGCCCTATGGGCCCTGGTGCCCTGCCTGGTGTTGCTAACCCTCTACTTTCTCTCCTCCACAGGAGGGAAGAGTGGAGGGAACAAGAAGAATGACGGTGTGAAGGTAAGTCCACTGAGAGCCTGGCAGGCCTATCTAGGCAGGGTCTCTGCTCAGCCACAGGGAATGGCTTTTCAGGTTCAGGCCTTTCTCATGGTGTTCTGGAAAGACACAGTCATATCTATAGTCAGGTTCTGGTCTTGCTGGTGGGAGCAAATCAGGGGTAGGGGGTGTCTTTGCAGGAGGGAGGGAAGAGCTGGTGGCCTGGGTTGGAATAAGCACAAGGATTGGGACAGATCAGAAAGAGGTTTTGTTGTTGTTGTTTTTGATTGTGGGTCTTGAACTCTGGGCCTGGGCGCTGTCCCTAAGCTCTTCAGCTCAAGGCTAGCACTCTACCACTTGAGCCATAGTGCCACTTCCGGTTTTCTGGTGGTTAATTGGAGATAAGAGTCTCACAGGGATGTTCCTGCCTGGGATGGCTTTGAACCGTGATCCTCAGATCTCAGCCTCCTGAGTAGCATGAGCCACCAGCACCCAGCTGGTGGTGTTTTTTTGCTTTTGGGTTTGGGGGGATGGGATGCTTTTCAGGGCTGGAGGTCTGTGAACAAGAGAATGCAAGGAGGGACAGAAATGGTCACAAAGGGAGATCTGCCAGGTGTGAATGGGCTGGCTTGGGCTGCCCTGCTGCATGCTCTAGTCTAACTCAGAAGGCCCATGGAAGATGGCCAGCCATTCCCTCTGACAATGGGATCCACAAGTCTTCTTTTCCCACCAAGATCCACTGACCGACTCAGTGCCAAGGATCCCCTTCCCTCACTGGACCTATCCCCTGTGCCCTGATGCCTGAGCTGCTCTCTTCCATGCCCTGCTGACCTCTCCTTCCATCTTTTCTCTCTTCTCTCTCTGCTCTCTTGGGAGCCTGGTCCCCACTCTCTGCACGCTCCCTTCATACTCAGTTGCCTTATAGGTTCTCATCTCTGGCGACCCTGCTTTGTTATGGGCTCAGAGAATACCTGGCCAGGACCCAGGGCTGGGCTGGGCCCAAGACATGGAGCAGTATGAGATGCTGTAAGAATGCAGGCACCTAGGTGTGCTGGTAGTTCTGCATGGCTTTGTTTATGGTGGCATTTATGGTTTTCAGGTCTTCAGCTTTAATGTGTCAGGGGTTACCTGGAGGAGGTCTGGGCTAGATGGTCAAAGTTAGGATTGGCCTTACCTCTGCACTTTGTTTCCTTCTGTTTGAGTTTCCCCTAGGGCCAGATGTGGACTTGTGATCATTTCTAAGACTCGGGCTTTAAAAACAAGCAAAAGCAACAAAAATCCCATCTTATTGTTCTTGAAAGATGCAGTTATGTGCCTTGTAATGTTTCTACTAGGGACAAACTATATACAATGGAATTCCCTTAGATTATGATAGAGTTAGAAATTTTGAATTTCCTTAAGTTTTTAAAAAAATTTTTGTTGTGATAGCTAGGGTTTGAACTCATGGTCTTGTGATTGCTGGGCAGGTACTCTTCTACTTGAGTTATGCCTCCAACCCTCTTGGTTTTGGTTACTTTTGTGGCATGGTCTTGCTTTTTGCCTAGGTCTGCTGAACCATGATCCTCCTATTTACTCTTTCCACCATCCCTGGGATGACAGACCCATGTTACCATGCCCAGGTTTGTCTCTTAAGTACTTTCTGTGATCTTCTCTATGGAAACCTCCTGAGTAGTTCAGATTACAGCCATGAGCCACCACACCCTGCTGCATATTTCCTAGTATTTTTTCTATATATATTTTTTGTGAAGTTATAGTTTTGTTACATAGCATAGGCTGGCCTTGAACACCTAATCCTCCTGCTTCAAGTTTCCAAGTGCTGAGATTACAGGCATATATGACCACTATAGCCTCTACTGTTTCTTTTCTACTATATCTATCTTGAGATATGTTTAGGTACACAATTTCTAGCCATGTGTTATATTACCTATAATATTTGGCACAGTAATGTATATGTTTGTATTTGTAGCCTTGGAGCAATAGATTATACTTTATCCCTAGGTGTGTAGCAGGCTGTAAGAACTAAGTTTATTTGAGGATACCCTACAACATTTGCATAATTACAAAGTCACTTACTCACAGCTCGCAAGATGTGCCCCTGTCATTGAGTGACGTGATTATGCATAATTATTTGGCTATTAGGAAATAAAAGAGCAGATGTGGTGGAATGGGATCTGGGGAGGCCCTACTGGGTATCACTGGCTCCCCCCTGGAATCTTAGCTGCTCACGAGCCTGAGATCCAGAAGATCAAGGTTTAAAGAAAGCCTAGTCAGACTCCATCTCCAAAATAACCAGCAAAACCTGGGCTGCAGGTGTGGCTCTAGGGGCTAGTACACCAGGCCAAGCATGAGGCCCTGGGTTCAAACCCCAGTACAAGGAAGGAAGGAAGGAAGGAAGGAAGGAAGGAAGGAA